AACTTCAGTCAGTGAGTTGTTGCTTCATGCAATTTAACTGCCTCTTATCTTCTTGTTGTACCTTTCTCTGAAAGAAAACTGCCATATTAAACGTGATAAGAATCTTCGTGGCAGTTCATGAGGCCACGTGCACGTGATAAGAAACTTCGTGAAGAATGGGCTGTTCCTTTAAACAATGTTGAAGACATTTACGAGGTGTGTCAAATCTCAAAACTCGTGCAAACTTATAAACTTTATGATTGCAAAACCAGTCCTTATGGAATTTCCAATGCATCAGAATTTTATGAAGTTCTGCCTTGGGAAACTCAAAAGCAGTCCGTGGTCTGACCTAGACGGGCTTCAGCCAGAAACCAAAATCATCAATGAACTGCTTGGTAGCATTAATTTGAAGGGTTTTCTCTCTATCAACAGCCAACCAGCTGTTAACGGAGCTCAGTCTGATTCCCCATCTGTTGGTAATAAAAATGTTATTCTTTTCATTGGCATTCGCTCACGCACAAACAGATATTATATCTAAAAAACTAGAAGCCTGTTGCACATGTCGGTCAATTGAAATGAAAAGAGGATCCATTATGAAGATTCTTGTGTATTATGATTTTTTATCGAGAACATTATTTACTTGGTTTTGCCTTTTTCTTAATTCTGTTATTTTGCAGGATGGGGTGGGCCAGGGGGTTATGTGTACCAGAAGGCTTACGTAGAGTTCTTCTGCTCTCTCGAGAAGCTGAATGCTCTGGTAGAGAAATGCAAAAACTTCCCTTATCTAACTTACATGGCCGTGAATAAACAAGGAAGTTGGATATCTAACTTGAACAAGACTGATGTGAATGCCGTGACTTGGGGAGTTTTCCCTGCAAAAGAGATTATTCAACCTACTGTTGTCGATCCCGAGAGCTTTCTCGTATGGAAGGACGAAGCTTTCGAGATATGGTCAAGGGGATGGGCAAAGCTCTACCCTGAAACAGATCCATCCAGAAAATTACTCGAGCAGGTCAGACTTTTGAAGATATCCCAAATTCACCCCCAGACTCCCTCCCTTTTTTTCAAAAGAAATAACCAAAAGATATATATATATATATATATATATATATATATATATATTTTGNTTGTGGTACATTGCATGCTTTCTTACATTCTGTGTTCGTGCAGGTGGAGAGCAGCTATTATTTGGTTAGCTTGGTTGATAATGACTACATTCATGGAGATCTGTTTGCTGTTTTTAAGGACATTTGAGTTGTACGTTTCAAGAATTAGCGTTTTCCATTTATTGCCGTTGGCTATCGGTAAGCAATTCATTTCACTATATGCAATCGGTTTACTTCCATGTAATATTCATTTGTGGATTTCCGAGTTCTCGATATATGATGTAATTTTAGCATGAATTTCTGATTGTATTCTTAAAAGTTACGTGCCATGGCCCATGGCAGCGAGTGTAGTCACAGTGGCTCATCAAGTTGGTCCAGCTCCATTGGAAGTTAAAATAAAAGTTCTTCTCTTTGGGTATTTCTTGACTTTTTTTTTTTTTCCTCAAAACTNCAAAACTGCAGATGCTTTATCATATAACTAACATAATATACAGAGTTCAAGTTGCACCAACTAATCTAAATACACACAGCATTGGTTCTAGTTTATTTTAGGCTTGCTGTATCTTTTTTTTCTTTCTGGTTTTAGTGCCGGCTTGATTTGATTGTTATTCTAAAGGCCTCAGTGTTTACTTCGACTTACTATTCCAGTTTGGTTGCGCATATTAGAGTTCCCATGATTTTTTAATGGAATTTGTGGGGGCAGATTTTATAATAAAAAAACTGTCACTGAAAGCCTGAAACTGGATTTCGGCCTAACTACATTATGACGATGGACTTTTGCGCTACTATAAACCAATAAATAAATAAATATATAGTACCTTATGATTTACAGTTTTTTTTTTTTTTCTTATTCTTTAATAAGTGATAAACTGATAATGAATCTTAGTTATGAGATTTGAGAAATTTATGCTTAAAAATCAGATCAACTGGTAAAAATATCTCGCTGGAACAAACATTTACGTGTGCCAAGAAAATACCTTAGCAATGAGGTGAAGGAAACAAGATTATTAATGTGATCTAATATTTCAACTAATAGCTAACTGGCCTCGTCAATATTTCAAAGGAAAAGTATAAAATTTGACTCCGAGGCCGAGTAAGAGACCAAACCAACAATGGAAATTTTAAGGATTTTATTCTTTTGATTGAGTTCATCACTAAATCATCTCATCAAATCTCAAACCACCCGATCACATAAAATTCTTCTTATGTTTGCACTTTAAAGAAGAATAAAAAATGAAGAAAAGCATAGCAAATTCTTTTTGCAACTTGTAAGAATATCCCAAAATCATCATTACAAGAAATCATTAAAGGACCAATATATGAAAATCCTACATAGTCTAACGATCCCATAATCCCAGAAACGTGTCTGTAACAGAAAGAATCAACCAATAAGAGATCTAGTGAGGAAAAAATGAAAGTAAAAATGAGTGGAGAAAAATGATTTTCTTTTTTTCATCCCCCAATTTCAAACCGAACCAGACTACTTTTGTCTGTTGATTCACTTCACTATACACAAAAGCTTTGATGAAACCAACAAGACTTCATCACCATATTTTCTCGGAGAGAACAAAACACAATAGGAGCAAGCGGAATAAGGACTTTTCTCCCACCCAAAGTTCATAGCATTTGAGTTAAGAAAGCTTGTACTACCCTTGAATCAATGTTTAAGGTGTTTATTAAGAGTAGCTAACATTGTAAATCGCAAAAACTGTGAATCACTAGGTTGCAAGTGGGTCGACTGAAAGTTAAAACAACGTGAAGGAGGAGGCATTTTCTGCGGCCAAAGAGCAACTATTGAAACTAAGTATAAGGTGGCTAAAAATGTCCTATGAAACTAAAAGTTTGCTAAGGTAAATTCAGACTGACTATTGATGATTAACTTATGGTATTTGTTGCTTGGTATCGTGAAATCAAGTTCTCAACATGCCCCGTTTCATGAATTTGAGTGTGTGTTTGTGTGTGTGAAAATGACAGAAGAATGTGAGTTGATTTATTGTATGAACATTTGAACATGAATCCACGCATTACATGTGCACAATATATATAAAGTGTTTTATGCGTACAGATTTTGCTGGAAGTTGAAATTTCATATTATAGACTTTGTCACTTGTTCGAGAATATATTCATCAAGTCCAATTAAAATAACTTGTTGTATTCGTTTGGGATTTCTAAAGTTTTTTTAAGACTTCAGAAATCTTAGTGTATTTAATTAAACTTTTTAAGACTTTTAAAAGTTTCGAATATTTATTTGAGATTTTAGTTGTCCATTGCAAATGGAGCTGGAAGAGTCATTATTGACAATTCTCCTGGCATAGTGCTAATAATGGACTAGATCAAAATGGCTCAATTAAATTCTAGTGCTTCTTCTATTAGTGAAGTTTCTAGAAAAAAAAAAAATTATCAAACGGCTCAATGTACCTTGGGTCGCTACGGAAACAGTCTCCTTGTATAATTACAAGGGTAAGGTCTGCGTACAACTGACCCCCCAGACCCCAACCTGTTGGGAATATACTGGGTATGTTGTTGTTGTTGTTGTTGTTGTATTTATTTGAGATTTTAAAAGGTCTTAAAAGATAATGAGGTGTTTTACTTTGGATTTGTTAAAAAAAACTCACTTTAAATCTCACATCCATCTAATTAAGATTTCATTTGATTTCTTTAAATCTAAAAATCTTACAAACTAGCGAATATAAAAGAGTCTCAAAATGTCACTCAAAATCTTAAACCGATACACCCCTTAATTTTCTCATGTAACAAGTCATTCAAACATCGATAAGCTTAATTTTATCGTCATACTTTTAAAAAGACAATACAAATAAAAGTATGATCATTTATAACACAGTTACTAATTTTTTTTTGTTAAAAACAGTAAGATGCATTGACTCGCCTGATTCTCACAAGAGTTAAATCTAAACATATTAGAAAACCTTGTCGTCGTCTAATTTCTGCTGACTCCTTGCAGCCGGAGCTCCGATCACCCACATAGATGACCGGTCCGTGCGTGGATTGAGATGGGGTCGATGTCGACTCCTCTCCCCGATTTCCCTGTCTCTTAGGGTTTGAGATGGGGTTTCCATTCGGTTGGTTCCTTT